TTAAAATTAGATATTTAAGATGAATTACTATTCTTATGAAATCATAATTTACAATTCAAAAAGTAAGGTGTCGTTTGGTAACACTTACGTTTTCAGTTTATATTTATAAAAATTTAAAAAATTCAAATAAAAACTTGTTTGGTAAATTTTTGATTTATAAATCAGTGGTCTCAGTTTATAAATTTGACCAAAAAATATAAACTCAAAAAATGTGTTTTCGTTTTGAGTTTTGTTTTTTTTTTTTTACCACCCAAACACTTAGCCACCACTCGCTACCTTTTCCAACACCGTTCTTCCGCCACCACTTGCCACCCCCCATCCTCCGCCATACCACGCCACCGCCACACCATCCGCCGCCACCTGCCACCTACCCGTCATCACCACCCACCACCCACTACCACCTGTCACCCACCCGCCACCACCACCCCCGCCACCACAACCACTCGCCACCACCTACCGCCACCACCACCCGCTGCCACCACAACCACTGCCACCACCCACCGCCCCGCACCACCATCATCATCCACACCTACCACCCACCTGCCACCACCACCACCACGCGCCACCACTAACCACCCATCGCCACCACCCACCACCGCCACCCACACCGTCACCACCCACCTACCACCACCATCCACCTACCCGTCACACTTTCCACCATCTCTTCGTCGCCACCACCGTCACTTGCCACCACTTTCCACACCGTCGTTCCACCACCACACCCAACCACCCGCACTTGCCACCACTTTCCACAGCTGCCACCGTCACCCACCCACACCACCACCACTACCGCCACCCGCCATCCACCACCACTTCCACCACCATCCACCCACCGTCACCACTTTCCATCACCGTCTTCCGTCGCCACCACCCGTCACTTGTCACTACTTTCCACCACCGTCTTCCACCACCACCACCCATCCACCCGCCACTTGCCACCACTTTCCACCACCGTCTTCTGCCACCAATCACCAACCATCTGGCCACTATTTTCCACCACCGTTCTTCACCCACCACCACCCGCCATCATTTATCCACCACCGTCTTCCGCCGCCACTTGCTACCTCTTGTCATTTCTCACTCTTTTTTATATTTTTAAATTTTTTTAAACATTTTGTCTAAACTAAACGCGTTTGTAGTTTATGTTTTTCTAAAAATAAACAAAAATTAGTTTGTAAAATTTTTGTAAATATAAACTGAAAACGTAAACGTTGCCAAACAGACCCTAAATATTTTGGTAGAAAAAATATTGCCATACAATTGCATTTATTAGCGATAATTTAGGATTTTGTTGTTAATTTTTTTTTTTTACTTTCAGTAGTCACTCACATGACGACTGAAGTTAGTCAAAAAAATTTACTTTTAAGAGTAAAAAAATTTCATTCCCAAAACATTTATATGTTGTAGTGTTGTGCTAAAATCAATTGTATAGTAGAATACAATCTTCTTATATAGATAGGAGGACCCCCCCCCCCC